TGCAAGGTCAGGTCGAGTGCAGGTCATCAGGTACATGAGGCAGCCCACAAGCTCTGGATACGGGCCACTCGGCTCTACGGACTCATCCGAAGGCAGAGCTGAGAGCGAGTGACCGGTAGGCAGAGGAGTGGGCTGAGGCGAGGAGTACGTGAAGCGGAAGCGCTGAAGGACCTGCTGCACCATGTGTGACTGAGTCAAGGTGATGGTGCGCCGTGCTCTGTCAGAATGTTATAATTGTCTAGCCTGCAGTGGGGTACTCTATAGTGAGTACAGCCCAATTAGGGTTTGCTATATGTATCCAACTGCTTGCTAGTGAACCTCCTCCTTTCTCATTCTTACTTTCTACTGCTAGTTCTGAAATGCTATCAGAGCAGGTCGACCCTCCTGGGTCGATCCTGTGGGTGGGCCCACCACCTCACTGCTTCCGCTGCTACTGCTACTCTGTGTGTTGCACGCCCCGTGGCGTGCGACGGATTTTTCATCCCGCCGCGCGCTCGGAGCGTGCGGCGGTTTTCTGCCCGCCGTGCGCCCCGAGGCGCGCGGCGGCTTTCTGCCCCGTCACTCCGCGCGTCGCTCCCGGGAGGCGCTGCGACGGGCGACGGGGACCCGCGCGTCGCCCCCCGTCGCCCGTCGCGGCCTGCGCGACCTGCGTAGGGCCCGCGCGCGGCCCGTACAGCCTGCGCGCGGCCCGTACGGGCTGCGCCAGGCCCGCGCGCGGCCCGTACGGGCAGCGCCAGGCCCGCGCGCGGCCCGTACGGGCTGCGCCAGGCCAGGGCGCGCCTCGGGCCACCCGCACGCGGTTCGTACGGGCTGCGCCAGGCCCGTGGGCGCCCTGTTTCCTCTTCCCCTGCGCTGCCCGCTGTCCCCCGTGCTTCTGACGGCGCCCCACCCCTGCTGCTGCCCGTTCTCCTGAATTAGGGTTTGGGGTGGGGGGTATGGGGGTGCAGTTTCTGTGTGCCGTCCCCTGCTCCTCCTCCTTCTCCGTCTCCCAGTGCTGCAGCTGTCGCTGAGGGGGGTGGGTGTGTGGGAGCCGAAGGAGTGGTACTAGGGGGGTGACGTGCAAGTGGAGTTAGGAGTGAAGCAGTGGGTGTGTGGGGGTGTGTGGGACAGTTGGAGGAGGTTGAGCGGAGGCTGCTGTCTTGTCGTCCGCAGCACCTGTAGTCCGGGGCGCACTGTCCTGGTAGCCCAGAGAGTCTGCTGCGCCTGTCGCCCGAGGGTCCGTTGCTCCTGTAGCTCCTCGTAGCCCGTGAGCCAGTTACTCCAGTAGTCCGGGGCGCACTGTCCCGGTAGCCACTGTGCCAGCAGCTCCTGTTGCCCGTGTGTCTGCAGCTTCAGCCGCCGTCTCTCATCTTCTCTCCTCTCACAGTCCCTCCTCCTCCTCACTTGCCCGCTGTGACTACCACTATCTTTGCTTATAATTGTGAACTATTACTATGCTTGCTTGTTGTGCTGATTACACCCCACCTTGGCTCTGATACCATGTTAGAATCTAGAATAGAACGAGAATGCATGAAACTAGGTAGGAGGGGGATACAAGTAGGAAACCCTAACAAAGCTGTACCCCCTAAGGCTAAACCCACTATAGCCTACACAATATAAACATATAATGTTTGACAAACGAAACGTCCTGAAGAGCACATATGTTGTCCGCAGCAACTGTCCAAGAACCATGTATCCTTCCCGGACGGCTCGCTTTGAGCGATGGCGGCGTACGTCGGGTTCGGTTGAAGTGACTCGCGGCGAGGCGTGCTGTTGTCGAGTTGTTCTTCTGGTGAGTAATATGGTGGTGACTCAGTTACGCAGGAGTCACTCAGCCTTGCCATGCAGCTGACGATGTTTCTTGTTCCTTTCGCAGGTTGTCCCGTCGATGTTGTTGAGACTTGTACTGAAGTTGTCGGATTTGCTTGCGTTGAGGCGACTTGACTGCTTGAAGGGCGAAGTTGGCGTTGCGGCGACGTTGACTGTTGTCGATTCGGGCAGTGCGTACGAGGATGCCCTGAAGTCTTGCAGAGGTGGCAGAACGGAGGTACGATTTTCGGTCGATTGTTGTTGTTGTTGTGGCGCCGTTGAGTGTGAAACGCGAATTCGGGCACTGATACCTTTCTCTTGTGTCGTTCTTCTTGCAGGTCCATGTCTTGCTGCTCGGCGTGGATTTCGGCGCAAAGTGCTGCTTCAGAAATTTTCCCGTGGGCTCGTAGTATGGCGCGAGTGGAGCGCCAGTGAGGACCAAGACCGCCGATGACAACCGTGACGAAGGCGTCCTCTGAAATCGATCCTCCACATCGAAGAAGCTTGTCGCGCAGCTCGCGGCAGCGACTGATATACGCCATTCCCTTCTCGCCTGGTTTCATTTCGATTGTTGTCAGGTGCGCCATTAACCGACTTTGGTTTACGCTGTCTGTTGCTTGATACAGGCTCTTCAAGTGATTGTACGCGAGCTCCGCGGAGTTGCCGTAGCCTCGGTAAGACCGTATGTTTTGTTGTTGAGTTGGAGTGATGTTCCTCAGTAGTATCGTGTACGCCATCATCGATTGATAGGTGTACTGCTGCTTCTCATACTGTGTGCCGTTTGTTGGGTATGGCAGGGACCCGTCGAAGAAGCCAAGGATTTGCGCTCCTTCCATCATCAGCTCGAATTCGAACGACCAGGTAAAGAAATCCTTCCCGTCGAAGGGTTTTGTCGTTTGCAGTTTTAGAACGTGCGCGAACTGCGACTGAACTTGTAGTGCGTCCAGCGTTCTCTCTTGTCCCGGTGCAGGTTGTGGTTGTGGCATGAAGCTGACGGAGCCGCGCTGGGGCTCGTACGGAGCGAAGGTAGGTTGCTGTTGTTGATTCCCGCGTGCGTAGGATGAGCCATCGAGACTCATGGGCGTCACGTTGTTGTTGTTGTTGCTGTTGTTTGATTGCGCAGGTGCTCCTTGCTGACGCTGCTCGTAGAAGGACATGAAGGAGAATAACTTCTCCATCATGCTTGGATCGAAGCCCGCGCCTTGGTTTGCGGGTGTTTCAGTAGACCCAGCTGCCGGTCTCGTTGTTGTGCCTTCCTCTGTCTGTAGGCCAGAGGCAGGAGGTGGAGTAGGAGTAGTACCAGGAGAGCCGTTGGAGGAGCTCCTCTCCTTTCTGGTAGACATGTCTCTTGGTGTATTAGGTGTTAAGGAGAAATAATTTTAACCCTAACCAGCTCTCATACCATGTTGGGCTGAGTGCCCCTTAGGATCTTTGGTAGGGTTAAACTCTGGGTAGAGTGATGTAGTAGCGGAAGCGTTTAAATGAAGTCCTTGAACCACCTTGCGCTGGTATGTGAGGGCAAAGTAAGTTGATTAAAACAAGCAAGTACAAAGGTTTATATAAGAGTACAAAGAATACGATTTACTGTTGCGGTTCGATACAGTGCGACTCGGGCAACTGCTCAATGTCGAGTCAGTTGTGTGTCCTTGCTGTCGCGCTGCATTTGTCAAGTCAAAGGTCGCTGACCTTTGACTTTCGCGTAACCTCCAGCGGTTACTTCAACCTCCGAGGGTTGACTCGCTGGTGCCTCGATATGCTCTGCTTCGCTTGTGCCTTGGTGTTTCGACACGACAGAGGCGCTTAAGATTGTTTGTTCCCAACAGTAGCCATAGTCAGGTTTTGTGCCAACTAAGATAAGAAATGCTGCATTTATCGCACTCCTTCTTCAAAGAGAACTCAATAAAGAGCGCAACACATCTCAGCCACACCAAATCGTTCTGTGCTAGATTGCTCGCACCGCTTGTGGCCCTTTTCCGTGCAAGTGCTCCTACATATTTTACTTCTGACGGCCACCTGCCTAGATCCGCTCTTCTATCCAGGAATTCTTGAAAGCTACCTGCGTGGCTTCACGCATGCAGGAGGCGAGCACGAGTTTGCTGGCACTGCCACCTGTGATTGCCGATCAGCAGCTAGACTGAGAGGAGAGCTACCATGACTTAGAGGGGGCAGAGTGAAACGTTTAGTGGCTTACCACCAGTTCCCGCTGTAGATTTTAACGCCTTTCGCTCACGTGAATATCGCCATGCGTCAGGCTACCACCGCCACGTGCAGGCTTTTGAGAAAAGGAAGCGTGCATTCCTTGATCCGGTGGGATTTGAAGGACTCCTGACGTGTCATTCGAATGGATTCTTTCTTGCCCTTTGGAGACCCAAGAGACCTAGGTAGTGCCCCTGAGTTAAGAGAAACACAGATGCCAATCAGGCTTTCATGAGTCAGATTCGTCCCATCGAGATGCTCGCGACAATTGCAGAAGATCAAGGACGCCCGCCCGAGAATCAAAGTCTCTGGAGGACACAGCAGCAATGGCAAGAGAGAGCAGTGTCGATTCTACGGGCTCCTACTCAACTGGTGGCTGTTGTCGCTGCTTACATACCAAAGCCGGCCGCCCAGTTGTAGGCTTCAGTGAATGAGTTCATCGATTGAGTGATGGCCATCACCTCGAGCTTGTTTCGGTGAGCCAGGGTGACGTTTGCCGTGTCTGTCCCACCTTAAGCAACCTGGTGGCGGTGGCTGTCGATTACAATGGGAGGCCCAGCTAGCACAGGTTGTCATATCGTGAAGCAACATTTTATTTCCGTTGCGCATCTCCGCTTAGCCATTCCGAGGACTTCTTCTCCACCTCCTTTTCAAATCTCGGACCATTCTGGTGGCTGCCCAGTATTACAGCAGAAGCTAGAAGTTTCTGCTCATTGTAAATGGACTTTGACCAGCTTAACCTGACGTTAGGCTCTCCCTACACGCCAACATCTACCGATTCCGCAAAGTTTCCGATGGCATCCGTTCAGGAGTCACTCAGCAGTATGCCTGACCTGGTTCCTGCAATGCCAAGGTCGAGCTTAACATATGAACCGGCGAGCAAGAGATTGAAGCTTGATTTGGGGAAGACGGATGCAATTGGAGGAGCTACAAAGTAAGGGAGTTGTCCTTTGAAATGCTACTGTGGTTTGGTTTGAAACTTTTTCACTCATGTCCATCAAACGTATCCTCTGCAGGGTGACACTTACTCCAGAGAACTCATTGGCGCCAGTGACTCCTCCTCAGAGTACGGAATTTGAAGTGGATCAGACGAAGAAGCACAGGTTCTCGGGAGTGTCTTCTGATCCAAGCGGCAGATGGGAAGCCTACCTCTACAACTCCAGGCGAAAAATGTACACCTCTGTCTTTACACGCTGTGATTTGTTGGTTTTTCTCCATCATTCAACAACTTGGCATGTCGTTTGCAGATATCTTGGAAATTGGGACGACGAGAAGGACGCAGCAAGGGCTCATGACAGAGCTGCGATTTCAATTTTTGGGAGGCAATGCACAACAATCAACCTCCCCCTTTCAGGTATAGACTTTTCCACAATGTAAATTTATGGGCTGTGTCTTTTTGGTAGACCTTATTAGCCCTTTTAACAGAGCATATCTGAAGTGTAATTCGCAGAATATGGGGACGAGGTTCCAGTTTTGGAGATGCTACCAGCTGAGCAAGTCATTTTCTCTCTCAGGGCGGAGGCGAAGCACAGGCGCAGACTTAGCAAGCTTGCTAACAAGAAGGAATCACCTCGAGGGAACCAGAATGGTACTTGAACTGAGATTTGGATGTTTGAGGATTCTTATGTAACTGGTCTAAAAGCCCGTCATTGTTCGTATGCAGGTTTGCATGCAACTTGTGCGGTTAATGGTAAGTCACCATCTGTCAATGGAGGTTCTCCATGGCACTTCCTTCCATGTGACAATGGGAGTAACTCAAGCTTCATTTTCAACTCGAGCATTCCGTCCTTCAAGCTGCCAGGAACTCAACTGCAAGCAGTCGACAGTGCTGGTCACCAGGCGCAAACACCCTCAGTGCAGCTGCAAAAGGGGTCACGTGTCCTTGTTGCCCCTCCGCAGCCTCTCCTTGTTGGGACAGAAGGCAAGGCCACACCGCACCATGCGAAGAAGAGGCGCATGCAGAATGGGCTGCACGATATGGGGAGTCTGCACATGCCACATGAGTCCTACATGGAGGTAAGAAATTGACTATTTGCAGAGGACTAGTTTTTGATCTACACAGAATCTGATATTAGTTGTGCCTGTGTTTTTCTCCAGGGCTGTGAAGTGCAAGAGAAACATAATGTCAGAGACGGTTCTGTTTTAGCCTGCTTTTCTGGGAGCATGGTACACCCAAGGTTGATTCAGCAGCATGCCCTGATTTACAGGCCAACTGCTCACTTGGCAACATCACAACCAGGTATGTCTTTTCTGATTGCTTCATTTGTGTTTCCTTGTTGGCCAATACGATTTTAAATTTCACCAAAAGGTTTTGCTGTTCAGGGCTTTGGGCATTGGACGACAAGGCATTGAAGTGCCATGGCGCAACACATGTTCCTGTATGTTCCAGCCTACTACAGAGCACTATTTCACTGTCTTGACATGGATATTGAAATAATTGCTTTCTTCATTCTATCCAGGTACCTGATCATTGCAAACGAGGATCCTCTGGATCGGAGGTGCAACAGCCAGCATTCTCTCACAATGCAAGAAGCCCCTTCAAGCGTGTGGAAAGGAAGCCTATCACCAGCTCATGCCTACTTTCTCTGGGTGGATTTTTTTAGCAAATGATCCACTGAATTTGCAGTACCGCTACCCTGGATTTAAGCTTTTATGTCCGCTATTCAGGATGGCAGCTGAGGAGGTGTGGAGTAGGCAGCAGCAACTGCTCGGGCTCGTGCCTCCAGTTCTTTCAAGTACTCTCCCAGTATTCTCTGCTCGTATGAGCTGCTTTCCTGCAGGTGAAGAGTCGTTGCAGTTGAAAGGCAATTAGACGGATGGACGGATGGGAGCATTGAAGTTGCAGTTGAAGAAAGGTCAGAGCAGTGTCTACTTACAGTGCGCATGAAGAGTCTCTCTGCCCTCTTCTCGAGGGCGGTATACAAATCAGCTTCTGGAAGACTTCCACCTCCACAAGTGAGGCGGGTTTGAAGAAGAGAGTCCCAAGTCTCTTCAGGAGCTGCAAGCATGTTTTTTCAATTGTGTCAGCCATTATTTCAAGTAGCTGCTGTGCAATGTAGCTGCTTATGCTTTGTATGGTTTGTCTCTTCAAAAACATTCTTTTCACACCTTGTATCAGTGCTTCCAGAAACTTCTCAGCCTCATCAATGGTACCATCACCTGCACAGATATGGGAGAGGACAGGTAAACATTGCACAGGCTTAAATACTGTAAGAAAAAATAAACATTATACACGACTTCAACGTGTACAAGGAGTACATACGGCGAGTTGCATAGCTCCTTCGACCTAGACGAGCTGAGGCGTACAACTGAAGGACCTTCTGCAACATGGCCACAAGCCCAGGCTTATCTGTGGCCTCTGTAGCCTGCACAATAGAACACAGCAACAGCCTGTGTGAAACTCTCTTACATGAATAAACTACCAGGGAAAAGGACTGGGCACATGTATTGTTGGAAATACCTGTCTCAATTGAGCTGACACTGAGGCAAGAAACTTCTCATCAATGCGGCCATCCTCATCCCATTGCTCGACTTCCTGAAAATTGGCAGAACAGAGAACAAGGGTGTTCCACGTGGGTAAAAACTGGTTGCATAGAAGTGCCTGCAAATGCCACCAGAAGTCTCCATATTACCAGGAGCTCCAGTCTGTACAGAGGTGGTATGAGAATTACAAACCTGTCGCAGCTTGGCCAAAACCTCCCCTGAAGGAGGCCAAGAGATTTCTTCATTGTCGTCTCCAAGCTGTCTAAGCATGGATGCCAATGCATCACTGGTGCTGTCCATGTTTTCCTGAAACAATATGTAGGCAGGGTTTGAAGTGACAAAAACTTCTAATCTTACAAAAGAAGGTAGCATGTATGCTGAAAAGTGGCACGATATTTTCCATACACAGATGCAGTGAATAATTGACATCTTACATGCGTTTTCTTGACCACCTTTTCCACCATTTCCATCACATTCCGGGCCAGCTCCTCAAAATCCCTCTATGGAGCACGCACACAGGCACACAGAGTCGGTGTTCAGAAAAAATGGGTGAGAGAGATCATGGATAAAGCGGTAATTATGATGTGAGAGCTTAGCATCCATTCTGCATACCCTGTCATCCACCGAGGAGCTTGACTCGGCCCGTGTGACCAGTCGAAGCCAAAACTTCTGCTCAAAGGCAAGCACGTTTTCAGCCACCAGAAGGGGCAGCTGAAACATGGCAAAACAATGCGGTACAAGGAGTGGGAGCGTCAGCCTGGGTTAGAATTGATATCCACGAAATCGGTTAGGGACCCAAAACAACTGAAAGGAGGTTGCAGCTTGCAAGTTTTCCGTGCGTTGTTGGGAAAAAACAGTGAAACTCGCCAAGCCAGCGAAGTTCCAAGGTGAACGACTGATTATGTACCCAACAAGCAGGGGAGTCGGACCTCATTATCGCCTGCGCTTCTGAGCTGATCAATGAACTTATCAAGCTCCATCGTTGACTTAAGGGATTTCTCCGCATCCTTCGTGTCTCCTTTGCCCTTACCACCACCCGGCTTCCCAAACCCTGTAGCAGCAACCACACACACTCCCTTTCCGACACAGATTGCTGCTGCTCCAGCTGTTGACGTGCCTCGCATTGAGAAGGACGCACCACACAATGACGTGGATTTGAGGCTCTTCATGCTGCATTGGTGGGCAGCTGGCCTGGAAGACGCAATGCCGACAGAAGGATAAACGCGACGCGATCGTGAATGAGAATGGCACGATAAGAGCTCAATTCATCGACGCAGTACGGTGTAAATGGACTCGTTAGCTACGTGTAAGAGAAGTCCGTTGATTGCTACCTCGGACGAGCAACGAAAGAGGCTCTGGGACAGACAGTCAGACCGATCGTCGCTCCTGCAGCCATTTCGAGCACTGACGTCGCCATGCCAGTTGAAATGCGCCAAGCGCCAGCGCCCAAAAACGGAAGAACGGAATGACGAACACAGGAAAGGAAGAGGTCGCGAAGTCGAAACCCAACGGCCCTTCTTAGCTGAAGCCGAAACCGCTGAGATGGGTTCTCCCTTGATTATCGAGGGACTGGGTTGAGAATGTGTGGCCAGGCATCTGTTTGAAGCAAAAACAATTTCTGATGTGGTGTTTCGAACCTGTACGCGATAAAGATCGGTCCTGCTCTTCCGAGAATGTTGTGCTTCAATGTGTCAATCTGCCTTGCATTTTCGAGGGTGCCAGTCCATCAGGACCATGTCGTTCCACAGTTAATTTTATTTCCCTGGGTCACAAGTAACTATCGCGTCTTTTGGTACCAGTTCCATGTCAAGCTCTCTTTCACTTCTTCTTCCGGCTTCATCCTCCTCCAGCGTCCTCGTGTTTTCTTCTTGTCACGCGCACCCGCGCAACCCTTCCATCATGCCCACGTTTGCGCTTTCCCTTCAAAAGCCGCTCTCCCTTGGCTCACGATTTGCTGTCCCTTTGGCTCCACGAAATACTCAGCGTTTCCGCTTCAGACCCTTGTCCGAAGAGTCTTCGTTATTCTCTCGTCGAAACCTCGTTGGCGCTGCCGCAACTGGCGCAGGCGCATCTCTCCTTGTGCTCGCTAATCGCTCGCGGCCGTTCGGTGGTGGTGGTGGTAAGCTGTGCGCATCCTTGTTGAGCACATACCATTTCTCAAAGAGCAGAATATTGAAACATTACATTTACGAGGCCTACTCACGGCACCTACCGTGGCTGTTTATTCCGTATTTCCAGGACTAGAAAACATTGAGGGCCGTTCATACTATGTCGTCCAAAGGGGTGACTCGCTATCCGCTATTTCTCGCTCCTTCGGGTCTTCAGTGGATGTGATTGCACAGGTAAGGAACTCCTGAGGGCAAGTTTTGAGCGTTTCTCGCCATACCACTTTTGCACCTCATTCCAGCCCATTGTTTTCTCGACCTGCATTCTTCTTTTCAGGCTAACAACCTGCGGTCTGATACTATCCATCAAGGACAGACACTGTGGATTCCTCGCATGTACACTATTCAGCAGGTAATTGTGAATTTATGTTCGTTCACCTCAAGATGGGAAACACCATGTATGCGTTTGAGCGATTCACGTGTTGTACTTTGCAGGGTGACACTCTTTATGGCATTGCAAGAAGGTACTATACTACAGTGGCAGCGATATTGGAAATCAACAACATTGAAGACCCAAACGTGATAAAGGCTGGTGGGTGCAGTCAAAGTTTCTTATGCTTTTGCAGAGTGCTGCTTTATTCAACTGACGGATTGACCATTGTATACCTTCTGTGCAGATGATGTGATCCTCATCCCATAAGTTCAACCAAAACAAGACAACAGCTGGCCACGTGCTGGTCAAAACACCATGGGCACATCCAAACCAATTTCTCAGAGGAAGGCATGGCCCCATGATAGATGAGAAGTGATGCAAGAAGTGTCACATGTGCAGCTGTACGTACAAGCATGATATTGGGGTCCCCATTAATCTGACAACTACCAGTAGTACAGTGCAGGAGTCAGATGTTGCATGAAAAGCCAGAAGTTACCATACTAATACCGTAATCTCCCGGATAGTAGACCCTAGGGTCTTATGTAAAATTCATAAAAAAATAGGGGGGGGTCTTGTCAACGTCACAAGATTGTTTAGTACCCGGGTCTTATTAAATTTGCTGCGATCAGAAGTTGATCGTGGCCTAGGATCTACTCAGGAAGGTTCGCACGCAGAGAAGTGATGTTGGTGGGCCCTTGACCTCAATAGCAGAGTGAATGTAAAATGCTTTGAGATGATTTAAAACATGCAAATACAGCAAATATAAATATGAGTACAGGGGAGATGAAACGACCTAGCTAGCCATGTACTCTAAGGGGTACATTCCCTTAATTCAAATACATTCCCAACCGTGCGGCGCGAACAGTTACGAAACTGTTCCCGCCGAAACCATCCTGCCTGCAGCTGCCTGATGCTGTCTGCTCCGACGGTCCAGATGCGTCCCAACTGTCTGACGCTTCGAGTCGATTCCAACCGTCTGACGCTTCGCGTTCATTCGCGATACTGCGTGCTTCTCTTTGATGCGGTGAGGAGTGCACAGTAATATTCAAGTATTACTATTCGTAACACCCCCCTTCACTCCTGGCCGTAGCTCGACTTGACCTGCTTGACCACGCCGCTGAGTTCGGAGCAGTGCTGATACTGTTGGCGTGGCAGTCGCTTCGTGGGGAAGTCTGCTGCCATGTCACCGGTCGGGCAGTAGGTCAAGTTGACCTTGCCCTTGTCCACCTCATCCTTCACGAAGAAGTACCGCAGTGCAATGTGCTTGGTGCGGTTGACGAAACCAGGTTTGTTCGCGATGCGAATCGCGCTCTGGTTGTCGCAGTGAAGGCGAAATGTGGGCGAAGCTGGAATTTTCGCCTCTTGCAGGAGTTCCTGCAAGTAGAGGCCTTCGCGAACTGCTGCGGTTGCTGCGATGAATTCCGCTTCGGCTGACGACAGGGCAACCAGCTCCTGCTTCTGCGAGTTCCAGGAGATTGGTCCCGTTGGCTCGAGTCGGAACAGGAAGCCAGTCCTGGACCGTCGATTATCGGGGTCTGCTGCGTGATCGGCGTCCACATAGCCGATGAGGTTGAAGGATGGAGTTGGTGCAGTTGAGTAGCACAGCCCAATCTTGGGCGTTGAAACGAAGAACTGAAGGGCGCGCTGCAGATCCAGAAGATTCTCAGCCGTTGGTTTGCGTGAGTACTGCGCCAGCTGACTGGCGATGTACGAGAGGTCTGGCCTGCAGGTGACAGAGGCGAAGAGGAGGCATCCCAACTGCTGCTGGTACGTCTGAATCCCAGCAGGGGATAGGGGTTTGTTGTCGGGTTTGTGGTTCGGTCCGGGAGTTCGGTAGGGAGTTGAGAGAGGTGCAGGTGGAATGTTGAACCGCTTCCCTAACTCCTCTGCGTACTTAGCCGCTGAGAGATGAATGGCCTCAGGCGCGTAGGAGATGTTGAGGCCTAGAAACTGCTTCACCTCGTAGTTGCACGTGATGTCGACGCGCCCCGCCAAGGCCTTCTCGAACTGCTCGAGAAGCTCGTTGTTTGAGCCTGTGTAAAGCAGGTCGTCGACGTACACCATGAGGAGAATGTATTCCCCGCGGAATTCGCGGCGATACATCCCTGGATCGTGCGGCATCTGCTTGAATCCGATTTCAAGCAGGATGTTGTGCAGGTACTGCTGCCACAGCCTCGGAGCCTGTTTGATCCCGTAGAGTGACTTGCGCAGTTGGCACACGCGCGAGTCCCCTTCGCCGTAGGTGTGCGTCTGCTCCACGTAGATCACGGCGTCCACTAACGCGTACAGGAACGCGTTCTTCACGTCGATCTGGCGGAGTGGTAGGTGCCTTGCAGCTGCAATGGCGAGCAGGATTCGAACGGAGGTATGGCGGCTAACTGGGGCGAACGTCTGGTCGAAGTCGATGCCATGCCTCTGATCGTAGCCGCGAACCACCCAACGCGCCTTGAAGCGCTCGATCGTTCCGTCCGCTGCGGTTTTCACGCGGAAGACCCACTTCCCCGAGAGGATTCTTGCGCCTTTGATCGCCGCGCGGTCGACTAGCACCCAGGTATCTCGTGACTCCAGCGCCTTGATCTCTGCGTCCATTGCTTCGCGCCATTCCTTGCTGTGTGGTCCAGAAAGAGCTTCGCGCGGATTTCGGGGCTCGATGACACGTGGCGCCTTCGAAGTTGCGGTGTGAAGTCCGAGCAGCTGCAGTCCTGAGATAGTGCTGTCGTGGCGACGTTGCGGGATGACTTCCTGTACGTCGTCGTCATCGCTTTCTGGTTCAGGAGGCGCTGATGGTGCTGTGCCTCCGCCGCTTCCACCTGTTCCGCTTCCGCCTGCTGCGCCCATTCCTCCTCCCGAGGAATCGTCGCCGTCGTCGTCGCTGCTGCGTCGTTCTTCCCACACGAACTCGCCCCTCGTGTCCTGCTCCAAGATTGCTGCAGCGGCTTCGTCTTCGGACGTTGCGTAGCTGTGCCCATCGTTCGCGTAGACGCGGTTCGCGTTCGTTTCTTCGTCGCGGCGGAACTGGTCGACGAAGAGGCGCTCGTAGAAGATGACGTCGCGAGCGTGAGCGATTTTCTGACTGAGGAGGTCCAGCACGATCCACGCCTTGTACTCGTGGCTGATGCCGAGATGGATCCCCCAGCGCGCGCGGCTGGCGAATTTGCCGATGGTTGAAGTCGGCGGGCGGTATTGAACCATGCACCCCCATACGCGCAACATGGAGGTATCTCCTTTGGTCCCGGTCCATTTGACGTGCGGGGACAGATTGCCGGTGATGGCGGTGGTCGAAAGTAGGTTGTGCACTCGCACGGCGTGGTGCATCGCGTAGGTCCAGTAGATCGGCGGCAATTTCGACTGCTTCATCAGCGCGCGCACCTTCGTCATTAGCGTGCGGTTCGTCCGCTCAGCTACGCCCTGCTGCTGGTGTGCGTAGGGGAGAGAAATGTGGTGCTCGATCCCCTTTTGCGTGAGGTAGGTTTGCATCTGGTTGCTCCTGAATTCTGCCGCGCCGTCAGATTGCCAGATTTTCAGCTTCTTCCCAGACTGTCGCTCCGCGTGCGCCAGCCAGAGGCGAAACACCTCGTAGGCTCTGTCGCGTGACTCCACGTTCACGACCCACACGTAGCGCGTTCCAGCGTCGATGAAGGTGAGCGTGTACATTTCGTCCTCGACTCCGCAATGCCCCACGTTCAGGAAATCGCTGTACACCTTGTGCAGCTTGGGGTAGCGGTTTGTTCCAGGTTCGAGCAGCGGGAACGGTTGGTGGCTCAGCGCAGCTTCGGGGCAGACGGTGCAGTTGCGCGGATGTGTCCCGCCTCTCACTTCGGAGCCATCAGGGCGCATGAGTGCGCCAGGAGCGAAGACGCCTGCGTCGATGCAGTTTTTCAGCGTCGCGCGTGAAGGGTGTTTGAGGCGCTGGTGCCAGAGAGTATCGTCAGCACGAAAGCCGGAGGTGCGCATGTAGTGCGCGCGCGCTTCCTCAGGGTCTTCGTCAGGTACAGGAGCAGGTTCTGCTGCTACTCCCTCTGCTTCTTCTTCTTCTGGCGCGGTAGTCAGCATCAGCGCCAAGAACTCTCTGTCGCGAATCTCAGAGAGCAGAATGTTGGTCCCGGGGATGGTTCCAGGGACGAAGGTTGGTTCGCGTGGCTCAGGGGCAGGTCCGTAGACGGTGCGACGCGGGGTTGACGGCTCGTTGCCCCAGATGATGGTGTCCCATGGATTGCGACGCGGGGGGTTGTCAGGAGGAGGTGGTGCGAGTGGAATGTGACGCAGGGGACGACCAAGAGGAACGACTGCAGGTGTTGCCTCAGTTTCCTCAGCTTCATCCTCTCCCCCCTTTCGTTCTTCGCGGAAAGTACCCCAGCCGCTATTGTCACTTATTCCCCATCCTCCAGCGCTCCCCCACCCCCCTTCATTGGAGGCACTTTCTTCAGCCTCAGCTCCCCAGGTGGCGCAAGCGAAGGTCCCACGTGCTTCTGCGAGGCTTTGTTGGCGAAGCTCCTCAGCTTCGCGGCGCGCCAATTCTTCCTCTTGCTCCACGGTGAGTTTCTTCGACGAGTCGCGTCGATGAGAGTAGATGGCCAGAAACTTCTCGTAGGAGAAGGGTCGCGGCTCGCCATGCCAGTTCCGCGCAGCATGCCTTGAAGGTGCTGTGAGGGGGGACCGATGAGGGGATGCTCTGGCGTGCCAAAAATGCCGTGGGTAGTAACTTCAAGCTCGAGCTGCGACATCCCTTCCTCTGGGGGCGCGTGGCGCTCTGCTTCAGCGATGGCGGCGAGTCCGCGGCCGGCAATCGCGCTCGTTGATGTCGTCGGCGTGTGACAATCCCTGCAGATGCCATCTGGATCGGGGTTGTGTAACGTTTCGCGTGGGTGGGGATGATGCGGCACCCACGGTCTGCCGTCAGGGTGCTTCCAATCCCTGCGGTGGATGTGCTCGAAGCGCAGTGGCACGAGATCAATCAACTCGTGCGAGTCGCCGCTGCAGTCGGGAATGTCGAAATCTAGGACATACACTCCATTTTCGGAGTGCGCTCGTTCGATCTGCCTGCGGGGAAATTTGCGCGATTCGTAGTGCAGCAGGATGTCTCGCGTCGCGCGATCCGTGCTGAGGTCGACGCCGCAGTCCATGAGCTGTGCGGCGGACAGGAGGTTGAAGCGCAGGTT